CACACAATCATAGAGCACTTCCATCCCTTACAAGAAGGCTGGTGATGGTACAGATTGAAAGTGCTTACATTCTTAGAACTTTTTACCAACGTAAAATGACCAATTTAGTGCCATGGGATGCTTTACATCTGTTCACAGTAATGCCCACTGTCTTGGTCAAGTTGCAGCCAAGTACTCATATTTTATCTAATAAAGTGAAGTCATCTTGATATCAGTTTCTCATTCCCAAGTCTCAACAGTTGCTGGGACTCAGAACAGCTGTGATACAATGCAGGGGCTTCCACAACAGCCTCCATTAACTCCTGACAGTGCTGCCATGTGTCATCACAACCTTACTGGTTAACAGGTTAAGAGGAAAAACCAACACCCTCCTCCTGTCTCAGAGCGCTCAGGCTGAAACAGTCCCAATCTCATGTGAAAGAAGCTACCAATACACACAAATAGTACATTTATTTACCCAGTTACCTTGGGTCCATTCTACACACATACTTAGATCAAAACAGAAAAATAAAACCATTTATAGAAATAAATTCAGTGCTGAGAAAACATACCATTAACCTGTTTCCTAAAAGGTACTTAAAATTTCTGAAATTTCCATTCTTCCTACAAATGCTTAATTCTAGAATTGCAGGTAATATTCAGTGTTTAGAATTACATTGTTTGTATTCAAGTATTGCTTCTCTACTGACTGCATATATACCTTACCTGAAGTTCACATTAGGGTCATTTTAGAGGAAATTAAATGTGACTGCACTATTTAATGTGGACTCATCTCCTGTAGCTTTGAGTTTTTTGTACTTCTCAACCTCTGGACACTAACAAATATATCTTACAGTAGAACTACACTATACTGTGGGCCTGATCCATTGCTGGCATCTGTTTAAGAATGAACAAACAGACAAGGAGATTATAAATATATACCTGTATTTTATTTTCAATATTAAATATTTTTAAATTACAAGCAGTTTCTTGAATCACACTATGCATGATAAACAATATACAGTAGAAATTACAATTTAAAAATGTACACAATTTAAAGACATTTTGACCTGAAATTTCATTAACTATTATATATTGCCATAAACCTCATACCTGTATTAAATTACAATAGGAAAACCTCATACCTATGATTATTACATAGTTTCTCATTTACAAATAGAATTCAACATTATATATACACACACACACCAGTACCATTATCATTTAAGTTACACCTACATCTGTGCAAGTTCAAACAATTTCTTAAACAAAACTAACGTTCAAGTTTCTGAAAAACAGGCTGCTGGTATTACAAATACTTATTTTCAATAAGTTTATATGATGTTTGACTCTCCTCTAGATTTTTTTCAATCTTGTTCCAAAACCGTTAACATACAAGGATATTTCTGTATGACTTAAAGCTGAAGCAATTTTGTATACTGCATTCTTATTTAAGGCTATTTCTTATAAGGCTAATATACTTAGATTCCACCTTTCACCAACTCCAACAAAAATAGCCATGACACTAACACCTGACAATGCTGACATTTTAGCATAGTGCTTAATCATAAAAACAAAGTCTTTCTACCAACCAGCCTCCTCATGAAAAAGATTGAATACTACATAAAAATCTGCTAAAATACTGATAAGAAGAATGAGGCTTAAATGGCTTTCATTAGTGCACCAACAAGGATATGAAAAAAAAGTTTATTCTGCTCACTTCCATGAAAATGGCAGTTTCCATAAATGCAGTCAGACACACAACATATCTGCAGCCTGGGGATTTGGGACAGTACAGGTGTTCCCATTAAAACTGGACACTTTGTGTTCTGTTGGCTTCTCACTACAAATCTTAATTTTTTAACAAACTTCCTTAGGTGGGAAAACTCAGATCTTTTAAGTAACTTTAGTAGCCAAATTGAGACAAAGCCTTCAGTGTTCAAATAATCAAGATATTCTACTAGAGAAGGAATTAAAATGTAACGAGTCCTCATAATAAACCATTGAAAATAGATACATGTACTTCTAAAAGGGAAACCATGCTGAAGTAGCTAGTGCAAGAAATTACATATAGTTTAATGAGTTATTTGTAACAAATCCCCTTATAAGTTAACATGTTGGACTTACTGATTCATCTTCATTGTGCCACTGACTGCTAGGCAGATATTTAAATATTGCTACTAGTTGATCAGGTTTTTTTAAGTATAAATTTTTCCAAAAAAGATCTTTTGATATTATTGCAATCCAGCCTACTGGATTCCTGAAATTAAAACCAATGTTTAAGTGAGGTGAGTCAACTTTTTCTCTTCATTGTACAGCTAAAAAGGACATTACCTTGCTTAATATCATACACATCTCAGCTTGTTTTGGAAAAAAGGCTCCTTGGGCAATTCATTAGCAGTGAGTCCACTTGGACAAAGGAGTAAACTTGCCCTTCCTATGTAAGATTTTCTTTAAAGTGGGGTAAAGATTAAGAATCTTAGATTTTCAAAGGAAATTCCTGATGTACAAGCAAATAAACCAGAGTTTTCCAGAATTATAAAAACCAAAATGCACAAATTGTAACATTCTGGAGTGTAAGCTTTTTTTTTTAACCTTGGACTATATTTTAAATCAAATTATTCAAAATCAAGGCTGAACTCCAGGTCTGATATATTTTTGACCATGCAAGGCAGAGAAGAAAGTCCAAACATTCTTTACAGACTATTATGGAGTTTCATTCTTAGTTTTGATTTTCCACACTTAAAATATGGTGTGATGAGATACCTTAATAATTTAGCTGTATCAAGGAGTATAATGGTGGAATTATGGCATTTCTATGCATTAATTTGTGTCCAAAGTCTATTACCTGTATTTTAAAATATTGAGAGTAGCACACAGCTTCCTTAAACCCTCTACAGTATACACTGTAAGTCTTTCTTAAGAACTACTTGTCTTTGCCTCTTCAATTGTGTTTTGGGAAAAAAGTCCATGAAAAATTCAGTTCCTCTCTTCATACTGAAAAACAGTTTTCACTAATTCTGAACCTGAGTGCCTCATCAGACCAAGTTATCTCAACAATACACTGGCAACTTTAAATAACATTATAACTAAATCATTCCCTTTTGATTGGTATGGAAACCATTCTGGTTAAGGGCTAAAAAATGATGGGATCAAAACAATTTACATATTCCTTTCATTTTAAAACATACTTTAAAAAAATCATAATGCATATAGAGATATACAAAAGCAGACTTTACACATCTGAAAATACCTAGTCCTCCCATACTTCATGTGATGAAAATTCTCTGGTGACTGGATCTGAACACAGAGCATTTGGACCACCATTATACTGAAGCCCTGCCAAAATAGCCACTAAAATACAAAATACTTAGTATTTTAGTACATTTGTATTTTAGTATACTAAAATACAAAATACAAAGTCAGGTAGACTGTTCCTATTAGTGTTTTCTACAGATCTGCAGCTGCATAAGGCATTCCATGAAGTCAGGGATTTGCTTCTCAGCTGAACTCACTCTGGAATAATAATTAAGGAATTCTTTTTTCTTTTTTTTCCCAAGCAGATAAGGGATTTAACTAGCTAAATGCATGGCAGAGTATGAAGGTTAAAAACCCCACATAATATTCCCTTCCCTACAGACAGCTTCAGAGCAAACTTGACTAGACTGCATCTTTGGGTCAGAATGCATTTCATGATGTACCATGGAGCCTTGAAGACATCTTACAATAGGCCTGGCCTATGGAAGGTGCAAAATGGGGCATTAACCATTAATAAAATTCTTAATTATCATAACATCACTGAGAGGTAGATTTACCACAGGTCTGAATGGCAGCCCCAGTCTGCAATCAGCAGAAGAGTGAGCTTCAAAATTCACAGAATGTACAACTGAAGGGCCAAGCATGCCCAAATCCAGTCTCTGTTGGTATTAGTCTTTTTGTAAGATTCATAAATTCCACAGTTTCATACAGCAAATTTTTCCTCTTCTTTCTCCAAGGCAGAAATTGTGGAAGGCCCTTAATGATGGTATAGTCAGATGCTATTACAATTTAAGCAGTCAGTAGGATCATATTCAGGGATTAAGAGACATTCTCTCTTTTCATCTAAAAATTCCCAAGTATATGATATATTCTTTTCCAGTTTCCTATAAAACATGAACACTAACAATCTATAATCATTATCATTTAGAAATGGTACTGAATATAAGATTTCAGCAAGTCTAACATAACACTCAGAAGTTATGTACGTTTTACAAGTACCGTGCATAGCAAAGGCTACAAAAAAGGACAAATTAAACTGGATAACCAGGCCAATTCAACTTGTCTTATTTTCCTTGAAAGATTTAAGATTTTGATTCTGTACATCATCAGGAAAGAAAGGAAGAATAATCCATAGTGCAATTGTAATAAGCAAAGTAATATGTAGTGATATCTTTTTGAATAAATATGGCTCACTACTGATCAACTATAATTCATACAGCTTCAGCAACACAGCCACCTGTTGCACAGGACAGCTATACACAATTCTACAACAGGTGTACGTTCAAATAGATAATGAACTACATGGAAAAATATAAAAAGAATATTATACAATCTCATACATAAACCAGACTGTAGTGTAATTGCTTTACTTGTTTCTTAAGTTATCTGAAAAATTCTTCAAGTACTTGAAAACTGCGGCAGAATCATCTTCCAATGAAAAGCAAAATTGCACTGATTTAAAAATACATTACAAAGTTAAATACACATTCAAATTAATGTCCTGATTTAACATTGCTTTCAGTGTTTACTTTCATTTCTTAGTACATCTTGATTACCTGTGTTACTCCAGGAGGATGCAGAGTTTAGATAAAGGAGTTTCAGACAAAGTCTGTGTGTTTTATGTATGCAGTCCAAGGAAGTTTTAATTCGTTTAATCTTTCTCTCCATCTTCACTGCTTCCTATTAGCAGAGGAAAGGTCATAAGGTACAGTGAGATTCTTCTGCACAACCCTCACTTCTTTTGCAAGACTCTTCCTAGAACTTGGCATTCTGCTATTTCCCACTTCCAAGTTTTAGTTAATCTTTCC